ATGTTTTGGCTGTACGGACCCTAGCACTCCTACGCACCGCGGATGTTGGATAAATCTTACGCCTCCACTTTTGCTTAGGCTTGTTATCCTCCTCTACCCGGTCCTCACAACCGAGCTCCGCGGCCCTAACCTCCAGTTCCTCTACTGTAGCACTCTCCTCTAGGGGTAACAAGCCATCATCCGCCTTAGTCTCATTGAGTGGATGGGCAAGATCCGCACACAGCGAATCGAGCACCCTGACTCCCAAAGCATCAATATCAGAATTGTTCATAGGTTTAACCGCAGCTAGATTACGGATCAATTCTAAGGCACGATCCGCTTCTAGGTCGAGAATGTCATTAACAGAATTTGAAATTTCACTATCATTACTACCCAGTGAAACTCCTAACTCATTTGCATTGTGGATGATCTCATCATTAGTAAAATGCAAAATAGAATTCGAAATATTGACTGACATACCAGTAGTGACCTACATGTCAGGAAGCTTGGCCGCCCGCATGGCGCACCTCAACTGTATATCATCAACATCCGCCTTGTCCTGAAGGCGACAGCTCATCCGTCTGTCCTCAGACACAGGATCCGGAATGCCACCAAAAGCGATGACCACCTCTCTGGTTGCCCCGTTGGTGGTAAGGCCACCTGCCCCACCTCCAACGGACGGCCCAGTAAAAGCAGACGGAGACCCGCCGCCCACTGCCGGCGAGCGCGAGGCCAGTGGGGGTTGGGCCGCCTGCCCAGACTCCCCACCGGGCGTCCTACGTAGTGGAGAGAGGGCGGGGGCCGCCTGCCCCCATGCCCTACCCAACCCGACAATCGGACTCGACTCGGGGCTAGTTGTCAACCCAGCCTGCGTCAGCATGTCACACGACGCCCCAGGTCCATCCATCCGTACCAACGTAGAGGGGGAGAGAGCCGAGGCCTCTTGCCCGAGCCCCCCTCCCAGAGCAATCCCATCACCACAGGGCGACGCTGCCACCACAGTTGTCAGTCCTGACGGAGACCTCCCAAGCAGCGAGCCAACAGCAGTGGGGGAGGTCATTTGCTGAAGACCGTCCCTCCCAACCGGAGAGCCCAGAGCCTCAGCAAAGTCCAGTGAAGGCAACGTGTGCTCAAACATATCCTCAGAATCAACCATGTCGCTCCACAACCTGGGTGGCGCGAAAGCCGCCTGAAACGAACCGAATCTCAAGGTACTCATAGGGACAGTCGTAGAATGAGCCACCCCATTTCCGTGCGTCTGAGGGTCAGCAACCGGGCCATTGGGCAACTCATGCCCATCATCCCCCTGTCGGTCCTCCGATTTACCTGAGCCATCGTTCTTATCATGCCTGTCCACATCCATCCCAGCCAAAGCCTGAGCGAAATACTCAGAATCCTCAAACTCAATATCAATGTTATAAACGAGGCCCTTATGCGTCCACTTGACGATATCAGGAACGAACTCTATATCCAGCACACTTACCAACACCCTAGCCACCCCGTTGGCCCGTGTAAAGGGCATATCAACTCTCTCAGGTCTGCCAACCAGAATCCCCAAACTTGCAGCAATCCGAACATCCCGAATCAGCTTGGATGGGACTCCCGAGAACCTCAACCAAACCCGAGTGAGTGGCTTTCCCTGCGGCTCCACCTTCTTCCACTCAAGAAACTCAAGAATGCACTCCGTTCCGGGAACTCTGCATAGCCCAAAACTGAGAAGACGCTCCAGGTCCTCTACACTCGGAAACTCAACATTATAGATGTTGTCCTCAAGGCGAATAAGCTCCCACTGAAATTCCCCCGGAGCTAACTCCCTGAGTCGCTTGATTATTTGATCCTCAGACACGTCACCTTTCGTGACTTTGACCACACCCGTAGTCGAGCTCTGAGTCTCCTCAGGGACCTCCTCCGCACAGGGAGACTCGAAGAACATCATCTCAGCACAACAGACACCATAAATCGTGATACTCGGCATCTGATCTCTCTGTATCGGGCACTCTCCGTGTCGTGCGCTGGTTTGAGGCAGGTGTCACAAAGCTCAGTAACACACTCAGCAATGAAATGGCCTCGCTCACCACACCGATAACACATCATCTTCTCTTTTTCCTTGCCCACTTAGAAGCTCTCTCACCCTCAGACTGGTCAGCAGCTTGAGAAGCAGGCACCACTACCGGCTCAGACACCGGAACCTCAGCAGCGGCCAGCGCCGTTACCACCTCCATAGCCTCACCGGACAGGGTAACCATCTGTCCAGTCGTAGGCATCTCAGAAGTGGTCGTGGGCTCCGCCACGCCCGTCGATGGAGGAGGTTGTCAGAACCGATTCCTCCCACCGCGACCACCATGATGTCCTCGGAAACCACCTCTCGGCCGGCGATCCGGGCCAGAGGCGCCCTCGACGAAGCCACATGGAGGTCCAAGAAACGGTCTTTCCGCCGTTCCATCACTCTGCCAGGCATAGCCTCGCCCACCGCCGGCCGAGGAGGAGCCACGGTGCTGACCCTCGCCATACGCATCGATGCCATCATCGTCCCACTGACCCCGGGGCACCGCAGTATGAGCACGGTTGAGACCCACGCCACCACCACCCCCTTGCTGCGCCGTCGCGGTCGGCACCGGCCCGGAGCGCTGAGGTGGCCTAGCAGCCACATGAGGGGGCGGTGCCCTTGGCGGATGCCCCTACGCCGAGGCTGCTTGCGCTGTATGCCGACAGTAGCGCCGGGCGCAGGTGGCCGCTGCCCAACTGGCGCAGCACCGCGACCCGCCAAAGCCGGCCCAGGGGGCGCCGCCGGTCGCGTCCCCAATGGAGCAGGCCCGCCCGCTGCCGGTCGCGGTCCCGTCGCCGGCGCCGGTCTAGGCCCTGCTCCAAACCCTGACGGGCGCTGGCCAGGAGCGGCCCCAGCGCCTCGGCCGATCGATCCAGACGGCATAGGAGGTCGCTGACCCGCCGGAGGGGCTACACCACGTCCAGCCTGCGCACCCGCGGGAGCCCCCGATGGCCTCGGGCCAGCATTGCTGACGCCACGTCCCCCCGCCATGCCAGGAGGAGGAACACGTGCCGCTCATCCAAACCCACACGAAGGAAAACCAGGCTTTGCAAAACGAAGAACCCTAGTCGGCGGCAGCGCAGAATCACGTAGACTCGACGCTACACACTCGACGGGAGCACCAGAACCCGCATCGCTAATTGCCTGGGCCCCATACCCAGCGATTGCGGCTGCAGTCGGCCCAACTTGCACACCCCCATGTTGGGCCACCCGTCCAGCACCAGCCTGCTCCAACTCCGGCCCAAACTGGCCCAGGATCTCGTTCAAACGCTCAGCTCTCGTCGCCCGGATCTCAGCCACGGAGGTGGTCACCTGCGCTGGCGGCTGCACGTTCATCCTGCCCTTCCCCTTCTTCTTCTTACGTACTACGCGAGTCCACGAATCGGAATCGAAAAAATCAGCTAAAGTTATGGGTTTGAGACATACCTTCGGAAGGGGGCCTTTCCATGCCCGACCTGCGGTCACCGCCGTCGTCCTCCGGTGGATGATCCGGCGTACCACCTCAACTCTCTCTTCAGAATGCAGTCCTTGTCTCGCTGGATCGTCCAACGGCACGACCCCGTCAACGATCGTGGCCACCTCCTCCTCCGAGTACCCTGGGTTGAAAGCTTCGCAGATCACATCTGACGGCGTGGGCGAGTAGTCCTCCGGCGTCTCGCTGGCGAGTTCGTCATCGTCGTCGTCCTCATCCGACCCCGCGAGGATCCAGAACCGGCCGCCGATCTGCCTACCACCGCTGTCAACGCACCCCGCCGGCCGGATCGCGGCGGACGCCGCGGGTGCCGCCCGGGACGCGCCAGACATCGCCTATCGCCTCTGAAGAACCGTTTCTTCGTGCCCTATGATACTACATTTCATAGTGAATCTAAAAATATTGGTTTGGTATTGTGAATGTTGATATATTGTTTTATAAGTTTGATTAAAGTAAAGATATTTTGACTTCGCACAAAATTTATATGCAAACTAAAAAGGACAGGAGAGAGTACTAGCATTTGCACCTCCAGTACACTGCGAGAAGTCCTTATTTCCCCATCTAAAGCTAAACATTCCTTTATGTATTGCCTACGACTGACTTACGAGTCCTAGCTTTGCAGTTTAACACACGAAACGCACTCCGGTCGGCAGTCAACAGGACGACCTCTTTGGGCGCCGGCCGGCCGGAATCGTGCAAAACAAGCCGAAGAGCCAGCCGCAAAGCTGTCGCCGCGCGTTTCCATCCCCAGCCAACCGGAGAACGACGCGCGCGCATGCGGACACGCACAACACGACGTACCAAGTCCAAAAAGGCTCGACAGAAAGACACCATTTTGTACAGTGGGTCATGACCTGGCGAAACGCCTTGGAGCAGCCGAACAGCGCTGCAAACGCTGTCCGTGGCTCACTGGCTTCGTTGATTAATTATTAAGGAATATTCCTTTAGCTGAGGTTGATTAACCGTGGGGGGATGTGGCTGACATGCGGGGCCCGGCCAGTGCGGCCCCGCCGACCGCTCCGTCCACCCAGCGGAGATGTCCAAGTCGCAAACCAGTCGGATTTCGGGCAACTGGCACCGGGCCATCCCTGCGCGCGCGGCGTGCCGTTTTTTCCATGCCGTCCGCGGCCTCCACGCGAGCAGAGCGCCGGGGTCGCACGTTCAAACATTGCGTGTTCAACGGTCAACATTCAAACGCTTCGACCCAACCACAACCAAACGAACAAAATAATCCTCCGCCCCGCACAAGTCCACGAGTCCCCGTCTCCCCCCTCCCAACCCCGCGTGCGTACGTCACGCTGCTTCCCTCCTCCCACTCCACAACCTATATATCCCTCTCCTCCACCGCACTACCTCCCCCAGTCCTCGAGCTTTTCTCCCTCCGTTCCAACTCCAACCGACGCCAACGACTTCAACTCCATTCCATTCAACGTTTCCGGCCGCCGCAACGTGCGACTCGATCACCTCTTCTCTGTCCCAACTAGCGCGCGGCTCGTCCGGAAGATGGTTCTGCCCATGTCGCGGGCGACGAGGCTGGTGCCGGAGCTGCCGCTCCTGCGGCGGGGCAGGCGCCCGCAGGTGGCGGACGCCGGGAACGAGGAGGAGCTGGCCGTGCCGGCGCACTTCCGGTGCCCGATCTCGCTGGAGCTGATGAAGGACCCGGTCACGGCGCCCACGGGGATCACCTACGACCGGGAGAGCGTGGAGGGGTGGCTGGCGCGGGGCCGCGGCACGTGCCCCGTCACCGGCGGGCCCGTGCGGCTCACCGACCTCGTCCCTAACCACGCCACGCGCCGCATGATCCAGGACTGGTGCGTCGCCAACCAGGCCGAGCGGGTGCCCACGCCCAAGGTGCCCGTCGCCGAGGCCGACGCGGCCGAGGTGCTCGCCGCCGTGTCCGCTGCCGCCAGGCGCGGAAACGCGGCGGCCTGCGGGCTGCTCGCCGCCAGGGCCAGGGCGATCGGCAAGGAGAGCGACCGCAACCGCCGGTGCCTCGCGGCTGCCGGCGCTGCCCGCCAGCTCTCGTCGGCTTTCCAGAGCCTCGCCGGAGAGCCCGTGGAGGGCACCAGCGCTGCCGTCTTGGGCGCGCTGGGGAAGATCTTGGCGGCTCTTACCGTGTTCTTCCCGCTCGACGACGAGGCGCGGCGCTGCATTGCCTCACCGGCGTCCCTCAAGACCCTCGTCTCGGTGCTCTCCCACGGCGACCTCGCCGCGCGGGCCAGCGCCGCCATCGTCCTCCGCGAGCTCGCCTCGTCCGCCGACCGGCACACCGTCGACATCATCTCGAGAACGCCCGGCTTGTGCAGCGCGCTCGTCGGCCTCGTCAGGAACCCCGTCTCCCCGCAGGCCACCAAGGCCGCGCTCGTCACGGCCTACTACCTCGTCTCCGGCAGCGACCGCGCGGCCGCCCGCTTCGCGGAGCTAGGTGCGGTGCCCGTCGTGGCGGAGCTCCTCGTGGACGCCGACAAGGGGACGAGCGAGAAGGCACTGGCCGTGCTCGACAGCGTCCTCTGCGCCGACGCCGGCCTCGAGTCCGCGCGTGCGCACGCGCTGGTCGTGCCAGTGCTGGTCAAGAAGATGTTCCGCGTGTCCGACATGGCCACGGAGTTCGCCGTCTCCGCGCTCTGGCGCCTCTGCCGCGCCGCGGACGCCGGCGCCGGCGCGTGCTGCGCCGAGGCGCTGCGTGTGGGCGCCTTCCAGAAGCTGCTCCTGCTGCTCCAGGTGGGCTGCGGCGGGGTCACCAAGGACCGGGCCAGCGAGCTGCTCAAGCTGCTCAATGGCTTCAGGGGCAGCGTAGAGTGCATCGAGACGGTGGACTTCAAGGGGCTCAAGAGGCCATTTTGACCGGTGTAGATGCTGGATTTTTTGGCGTCTGCTTTCACCTTTGTTTTAGATTGTTTTGGGAGCTAGATTAGATGTGTGCATAAAACAAACATACTCCAGGATGACTAGATTTTGATTTTTCTTTACACTGTAATTGCATACTTGCACACAAAGTGATCAACACAGAAGAGAACTGAACATTATTTAATTGTTGCCATATTTAAGTTTTGCACAATTCAAATGTTATTCCGTGTAATTTACGATTTTGAAGTGAGCCTCCCATTACAGCAGTGCCCAGAATTCCACGAGGAGTTGGGAAACATGAGATTACAAAAAAAGAAACAAATAAACATCAAACTGAGCAGTAATCCATAGATCGGCCCAGGCTCATCCACTATCTATGATCAAACAAATTTGAAAATAAATATAGAAACACAAGTAAAAGCAAAATCTGAAATGTTTTGGCACTGAAAGTGAAAGATGCTCGAGTGTGTCCGGAGCGTGCAAAATTCATGGGCAAATGGCATTTTTTTTGCGGAATAATTCTTGTATTACTCAATCGAAACACAGTTACAGTCACGCTTAACAACGTCCAAAACGGCATCTGGTCCTGACCCAAGCCATACAGCAATTCGGCCTTGAGTCCTCCCATAGTTGGCCAAAACATGACTAGAATTATTACAACTACGATGGATATGAGTAATACAAAAACTACGTTCGGACATACTATCTTTAATCTTTCTAATAAGAAAGGCATGTTTTGATCTATTTGTATCTCCACTTTTCACCATGTTCACTGCTTCCAAACTGTCGCTTTCAATATAAATTGGTAGACTATGGGCAAATGGCATTTGAAAGCTCTAGGGGGGGAATCAGGTCTTCAAAATGTTTTTGAGTTTCTTGGACAACCTTTTCTTTTTTTGCCATGGGCACCTCAAATGTGCTCCTAGCACACTCGAACATCTTGGATGCTATTTTTTTAGATATTTTCTATTTTTCTGACAACAGATTTTATCTTTAGAACATGTATTTTTCTATTTTATTTGAATTTATCTGACGCCGCTCTCCAAACTGAGGCACGTTTCTCACGCCATGTTATCTCTGCCATTTTGTTGTGCTCGTCCAATGTTCAGACTGCCGATGTGCTTGCCTTCATCTGATCGTGGAGTCGTCGTGTTTCACATTCTTTTCGTTTCCTTTAGAAAAAACCGAGTAGTAGTAGGTACGTGTTTCACATTCATTCCTGAATCAAAACAAACAAGTACGATTTGATGATCCCAACAGCTCCCTTTGCTTTATTAGAGCAGATCGAAAGGCGCGAATTTCTCCCATTTATTCCACACACGTTCACAAAGAGAGACAGACGGCCAAAAAAGAAAACCTTTGGAGCTGTAAAGCTCAAGCTTTCCTCGCCATTCCAATGGCCGGCACGTACGCCGACGAGCCGTCACGGCACTCGCCGCCAGATCGGCTCCACGAGGTCGTCTCGTCGACCACCGTTCACCGTGCGTCGACCGCACTCCGGTTTGCTCGTCGTCGCCGACTGATTGGGCAACGAGCTTCGTTCCGTCTGCCTCCGTTCAACGCCTAACTATAACTAACTAAAGCATTCAGCTGTGAGCTCAGCCACGACAGTCGACAGCAACCTACGCGACGGAGTAGACCACTGGACCCGGTCGACGCCCGTGGGGGCGCGGTAGCGGTGGATGGCCGGAACCCATACTGCACGGACCGGCGCCGACGACGACTCCTCGCTATCGATCGGATCACAAGTCTGTCCGGTCCGCCTCTCCCTTTCTGCACTTGGCCCGGTCGGCCGCTGCTCGAGCTAGTGCCATGCGAAACGGACATGGAATTTCAGTCGCCAGAATGTGGCTGCAGCAGGTTTGCACGTCCGAGTTGAGTGGAGGCTAGTTTGGCCACGACATGCAGGATGCAGCGGTGTGTCGGTCAGGAGTCAGGAGGCCGACTGACGAGTGGGATAGGCTACGTGTGGAACGTGTTGCCAGCGGGCTGGCTGCATAGGTGTACGATGGTGTTGTCATACGGCGGCAAAATTTCATGTTTTCGACCCTTTTCTGATACCTATTTTAGATATGACCCTAGTTTGATTTTTTTTTCGAGATCTGACCCTTTTGCTACCGTCAAAGTCCATGGCGGTATGGTGTAACAGCCTACCGTCAGGGACCTTGGCGGTAGGAAACATCCCTACCGCCAAACATAATGGCGATAGCATGTACAACCCCTACCGTCAAGGGGCTTGGCAGTAGGCACGAGCACGCACTGTGTTCAATACTGAGCAAAATTTCACGGTAGAGCATGCAATCCTACCGGCGGTAGCAAAAGGGTCAGATCTCGAAAAAAAATCAAACTAGGGTCATATCTAGAATAGGTATCGAAAAAGGGTCGAAACACGAAATTTAGCATCATATGGCAGATGTGATCATGGTGCGAACGATCGTGCGCTCTGGGAGGCTCCCACAAGCGAACGACGCCCTAGACGCGTCCTCGTCGATGTCCCCACTGTCAGACTACTTACCCACCCCTCTTCCCTCACACACATGTAGAGAATTTCCATGCTGCAACAGGAAAACTTGCAAAAAAATGTTTGGAAATTGTTGTACTGCAACATAGAGAATAGCCATGCTACGGAAAGAGAAAATTTCCCACATGACTTCAGGAAATGCCATGCTACAAGAGGATAATTATCGTGCTACATCATACTTCCTCCGTTTCTAAATATTTGTTTTTCTAGAGATTTTAACAATTGACTACCTACGGAGCAAAATGAGTGAATCTACACTCTAAAATATGTCTATATACATCCGTATATGGTAGTCCATTTGAAATCTCTAAAAAGACAAATATTTAGGAACATAGGGAGTAGAAAATTGCCATGACGTAGAATAGAGAATGAAATGCTACAACATAGAGAATTTCCATGGTACAGTGCAGAAAGTATTCACCCTGTTCAGAAATTGCAGATGCTATATCAAAGGGATATGTCGTATTTTTCGGAAAATGAGTTGCCATGCTATAGCATATATAGTTGCTGGTGTAGATGTCTAAAGAAACAAAAAAAAAATGTCTTCGCCAAAAAAATAGAATCGGAGCAAAAGATTATGTCTTCGCACCAAGAATCACACACAATCGGAGGGGTAGCGTTGCATTCGGACCATAACAGCTTGAGCCAACATTCGCTCATTATCATTCCCATTTGAGATAAGGCTGGGAAAAATAGAAAAGAAAAACAACGCAGACAAGCCAGGTCAGCAAAATCCACTGCAATTGCAAAAATAAAGCCTGGAGATCTATAACAGACATCAATTTCAGAATTGTGGTGTTTCTTGGGCGACACTTGTTTTACCGCAAAAAACACAAGGATCCTTTAATGAACAAACAAAAACTAGCAGATCAACAAGGACAGCAGTAATCCACCACAATGCAAAACAAAAACCGGTGATCCAGAACGGTCATCGATTTCAGACTTAAAAGTTAAAACTGCAGTCTGCACCTCTGAAATACTCAAAAGTGCATCTAATACACTCCCGAAATCTAAAGCACTCAAAAGACCAAGAACATCCTGTATAAACGAGCTATGAAAGCAAATAAGAGCAGAACATCTTTACTGAACAATCGACGGAATTTGTTGTCTTGTTCCAATAAAATGGGCCGGGGGAACCCCTTTTCATCAATTTTTTTTGTCAAATCATGTTTTGCCACGTGTGCATCTGTGCAATTTGCCCTCTGCCGTGATTTTTGTCCAGTTCATTCGTGAGCGCCCATACCAATCTTGAGATCGGTTCTTTGCAATCGCCCACTCCTGGGAATGTTGAACTCAGAATGATTTCCTTGGCATGTTTCTTTACGCAAGGATCAATCACGGTGGCCTAACACATGGCAAAAAGCGTCTACAAAAACACAACGAAAAGCATGAAAGCAAGAAACATGTCATAACCTAACTCTTAACCAAGTGACTCCATCCCTAGTAAGAAATATCACATCTCTTCTATAAGGAACCATGAAGCAACTAAGATGTTGCCGTTATATAAACTGGAAAAACCTCCCTGAGGAGAGAACACCACTGATACTTAGCAGCTGTGACTACAAATTAGTATCACTTCTAGGGCTTTGACAAAAAAACACTGAACAAAGATAAGTTGGCGTGCAGCCAAGAAAATACTTTAAATAGACATTGTATGTTCACCAGAACTAAACTTTAAGTAGACTGAGACCACAACCATGAAAAATAATACTATAAACAGGCAAAATGCAGATAGCGAGGTCAGCAAAACCCGCTGCAATGCAAAATAAAGCCTGAGGATCTATAACAGTCATCAACTTTCGATTGTGTGATGTTTCTGACCACAATGCAAAGAAAATAGGGATGCGTTAATGAACAAACAAAAACTAGCAGATCAACAAGAACAGCAGTAACCCACACAATGCAAAACAAAACCCAGTGATTCATAACAGTCATTCGATTCCTGACTCACGATTCCAGTCTGCATCTCTGAAATGCTTAAAAGCGCATCAAATCCACTCCCGAAATCTGAAGCACTCAAAAGACCAAGAACATCATGTACAAACGAGCTTTGAAAACTAATAAGAGCAGAACATCTTTACTGAACTAACGCATTAAGCTAGCATCTCTTAACCGCACACTATTCAATGGAATCAGTGATCATGCTCCCTTGCCGCGAAAACATTCTTACCATCAAAACAGGCCACAATTTGCCGATTCTAGGATGCTCGCATTGTAATCGATTGCAGGTCATCGATACAGTTTCAGGTAAGCTCATCTCACTCCCATCAGTCGATCAGGTCCATTATCGCCTTGGTCACCTCCCTGGCAAGGTCGCTGCGGCGCAGCTCCACCTTCATCTGTTGTACCCTCTGCTTCTTGATCTTCTCGTCCAGCAAGCGTGCCTTGTCGTCGTCCATCTTTCCGAACTCCCGCTTGAACATGCCCGAGGCCTCCATCTTCTTCACCTCCTCCGCGAGGTATGGGTACAACTCACACATCTCCTCAAATCCCTTGGGCTCGTGGTCGTTCGCCTTGGCGGTGGGAGCAGCAGTAGAAGCGGTGGCAGCGCGGGACCTGTACTTGTGGCCGCTCCAGAGGATCTTGGACAGGTCGAAGAGCCGGCGGTCGTGTTCTTTGGTCGGGAGCTCGTACTTCTTGGCGGCTGACACATACCGATGCTTGAGGCTTTTGACCTTCCCCTGGAGCTCCTTGCTGCTGTAGGCACGGTTGTCGAGCTTTCCGGCGAGGGCTTCGACCAGTGCGTCGGGCTGCGGCAGCACACCGTGCTCTTTTTGGTGAGCGGCGAGGGCCTCGAGGATACGGACCTCGTCGTTGGTGGACCAGACGCGGTGGAAAGCAAGGCGCGGCTTCTTGGCCTCCGGGGCCTTCGCCTCCTGCTTCGGAGATGGCTTCGGCGGCGGCTCATCTTTGTCAGATTCGGAACCCCCATCCTCCTCCTCGTCGGAACTGTCGGAGTCCTCACTCTGTCGCGCCGGCGGAGGCTGCTTCTTGGGGGCAGTGTTCGGGGCCGCGTGGGATGGCTCCTCCTCCTCCTCTTCAGAGGTCTCGGACTCCTCGCTCTTCTGCGGCGGCGGAGGCGGGTTCTTGCGGGCAGGGGCACGAGACAAGGCGATGGTCTCTTCGTCCTCGGACTCGTCTGCGCCCGAGTGCGTCTCGTCAGAGGAGGCAGCCACCGGCGGCGGCGGCGGCGGTGGCCTCTTCTCGCCGCGCTTCTTGGCCATGGTCGGAGAAGTAGGGTTGAGCGTTTGGGAGAAGAGGTGGGTGGCGGCGCCGGACAAAGGTGGGGTTTCCCTTCTTCGGGTGTCGGGTCTCCTTTCATCAAGACACAGTCGGGCTTATAAGGCCCAGGTGGGCTTCCTCTTTCTTTTGGTTTCAGCCGGCCCATCTGTAATATCAATGCATTTTCGTGTCAGTATTATATCCAGCCCAACCCAAAAATGTTGAAATAACATTTTTCTCCTTTGCAGTTTAAGAAAACCAAATGTTTAAGATGAATTCTGTTCAAGTTCCTTCCAAGAAAAAGAAACAAGACCAGCCAGGACTAGCCCTTGGCGGCATATTTTAATAGGAGAGGCAACCTGAGCACCCTGACGAGCACGTGTCCTGAGCATGGGTGGGCAGCGTGCACAACTACATAGCCTGCCAACAAAGCAATGCTCTGTACTTTGTTTGATTCATACTCCTTCGTACTGTACTTTGTTTGATTCCTAGAACCATGGAGGCGCGGTGGATCCTGGTCCTTGTCCGCAGGAGGGCTTCGTTTTTAGTTTTTTTTAGTTTAGGTAGGGTTTGTGCCATGCTTAGGAACACGAGTCAGCAACAATTTTCTAAAGATGAAATAAAGTTCTCCCCATCTAGCCCCTGTCCAGGTGGTGCTTCTAACATTGTTGGAGGGGCGTGTGGAGGTGTGTATTGGGCGAATATCATGGGATTTGGTTGGTGTTTGTCTTCGGTGGAACCGCTTGGATCCGGTCTTCGTTTGTTTGCACCTGTGGGTCTACAGGTTGGATCTTAATATCTATGCTTCTCTTCGTCTGTGGCAGTTGTTATTCAGGTTTGCTGGTCTCGGGGCCTTAACATAATGACCTCCCGACTGTCTACTACAACAAGGTTTGCCCGCCTCCTATGAGGGAGAAGAGATGATGATGGTGCGCCTTCGGCTCGCTTCAATGCTTGTAGTCGGTGCTAGGTGGTCTATGGACCTGAATGTATTTTTTTTACTTCTACTAGTGCTTTTTGTACTACCTCGAAAAAGAGCAACACTCTATTCGCCCTTTCAAATTCCTTCCACATCCATCATGCGAAGAAAATATTATATCAAGTGCGGTAAGCTTAGCAAGAAGCACCACATAACAGATATGGTAAGGGCATCTCCAATGCCAACCCTAAAAACAGACACTGTATTTTTCCAAGGACTGGTCCGGATAGGTCCACAGACACTGATGAAGGAGCCGGCCATCCAACCATGTATGCATACATTTGAAAGGAAATTAGAACAAAATGAATGAATTTCATGCAAACCAGATAATTTTCATTTAATTTGGACAAAATTCATTACATTCTGACACATTTCAACTAAAAATAGCATCCGGAAGTTATCTAGAATCTTCATCGGTGGCCATGAGCCCGAGAAAGTGCTCAGACCTCCAAGTCCTTGTTGTTCCCCTCTGTGTCCATGTCTTGTGGCCATGAGTCCCGGGAAGCAAAGGTGCGATTGCCGGCGAGGAAGAGTAGGACATGGGACAAAGACTTGCCCACACAGGACATGAGGTCCCGCTATCTCCCATGCTCTACACCTCCTTGTTAGAGTCCGTGACCTGGCAGTTGTCGGTGGAGGTGAGGTCAACGATGGACGCGGATGGGCTGGCCACATGGTCGAAGCAGTGCCAACGAGGACCAGCTGATGACGCGAACAATGTGCAACAACTGCTCTTGATCGGCGCGCCTGCTCTGCACGGGGACGAATGCAGCAATGGCTCTCTGGAATGGCCCTGAGCGGTATGAATGCACGACAACCACTTTGCATGGGAAAGCGCGTGGGTGTGAGAGAGCTCTGTGGGTGGATCCGAGATATCGGAGGCATACGTGGTAGCAGCCCAGACACCAGCAAAACCACCTTGTTTTCCTTCAGTTGACCAGAAAACAGACGTCCAGACCGGTCCGTGGACCGATGGGTACCGCATTGGACAACAAGTCGCGTGGACCACTCGGTCAGGACGAGTGCAGGAGGTTTAGGTGTCCGCATTGGAGATACCCTAAGGTATCTAATTCTTTTTTTAGGGGCAGCTGAATCTCTCATGGTAAATGAGTTACCTTGTCTCATCATCCGTTTATCAGGATGGGATATCCCTAAATTTATGGTGAGACATATTATTGCTGAGAGACCATCTCTTAATTAAAGGAAGGCAAATCTTTTCTTGTTGTTTCTCTCTTCATCATCTCGACAGTTATGCTACGTGGCACTTTTAAGATAGCACCATTGTACACGTCAAAAGAGAGAAAGAAAGAAAAAAAACTGCTTATGTTAGCACCACGGGGCCAACAGCTTCACCAATCTTAACGTGCACTGGTCCGCGGTGGTGATATACAAACGATTTTTAACCCCTTTCCGCGACGGCATTTGGACCGTCACATAGTGAGTGATTGTGATAGGGGGGAGGTTCTTCCCACAGATCCAGAAACCATTGGGGATATGCCCTCCTGGCACACACGCTCGGCAAAATGAGGTCGTGTGCGACCGGTGAGTGATCAAATCGGTTATACGTACAGTAGTGCTAAAAAAATTCAATTATACAGGCAAAATTATTTCCGGTCGTAAGTTCATCCCACATAGTCAATCCCGGTAAACGTTTTCGTTTGTATATACATCCCACACAGTCGCTTCAAGGAAAACGTTTCTGTTCGCAGGTACATCACAAACAATTTTCCCCATTAAAACGTTTGTGATAGCGTTTCCATTGCACATGGTATTAATAATTTTATCATTTGCGTTATTGAATGCATCACACACGGTGCATAGAAGAAACTGTGCGGCAAAGACTGTCCATCACACACAATTTTTATGTGGTAAACGTTTGCGCCAGGTGGCCGCAAACAGTATTCAAGAGGATGCTGTGTGTGATTGTTCATTGATCCAACACGGTTTATTCCTAGAAATTGTGTGTGTTGCCGGAGGTCATCAGGGGGGCAAGCACCTGGCCATGAGGGTCCAGGGCGCGCCCACTCTGACTGGGCGCGCCCCCTGCCTCGTGGGCCCATGGTGGCCCTCTCCACTTATTCCTGCACCCACACACTCCATCTTCCTCCCAAAAAATCTCCATCCAGCTCAAGCACGAGTCCTAACTCATTTTGCTACGATTTTTGATCTCCTTGCTTAAAGCTCCATTCACAAAATTGCTTTAGGGGATTGTTCCTAGGTATGTGACTCCTCCAATGGTTCAATTAGTTTTTCTTCTAGTGCTTTATTCATTGCAAATTTTTGCTGCCTAGGTGACCCTGTTTTTGAGCTTGCATGTCAAATTTATGAGGTCCCATGTAATTCTAATGCATGATATAGGCTCTAGGCACTTGTGGGAGTAGTTGTTATCAATTTTATTGAGTTTGATTCACTTTTATTTTGAGTTACTAAAAATTTCAGAAATTTTTCAGAGGAAGAAATATGTCTAGGAAAATATACCAAGGTGGTTCTTCAACAAAGAAAGGACCCAGGCGCTCTATGCGTGAGCAAGATGATGAACCACCAAGGGAAGCTGATGTGCGGCCTTGTGAATGGCTGTCAGAAGAGTTTATGGTCAATGCAGGCATAAAGGATGAATTTGATGCATATGTGCGTAATGCCGATCTTGAGGACTTCATGCAAGATAAGTGTCCTCAGTATTACTATTTGACTGATTCATTCGTGAGAAAGGTTTAAATTTTCATCTTCGTGTAATTTTCAAAGTGTCCTATTTGATATTTATGACCAATCATATACCATAGACCTAGAAGATTTTACTACTGCTTGCAAACTCCCGCAGTGGGGCAATGTTAATGAACCCCGTAAATCTGAATATAAAGACTTTCTTGCTAGTATTACATTGGGAGAATCTAGAGATATAGTGCAAGCTACCATAGGGAGCATTCATTTTCCTACTATACATTATTTTGCTCTCTTCATTGGTAGATGCATTAATGGTAAAGATGAAGCATATCACATGTGTGTCCCTGATCTTTGTGTCCTCAAGAGTGCTGTATTAGGTAATAAAGATTACAACTTGGGGGCAATAGTTGCACGTAGGTTGCATAATAATGGTTTATCTGGAGATTTGTTTGGAGGGATTTATGCGACCCGTGTTGCTAACTATCTTGGTATACCTCCACGTGAGGGTGATAGGGAGTTGCTTCCTGCTTATTTAGATTATAATGCTATGGCCAGTCATCGTTTTCTTGTGAGGAATGAACAATTCCTCCAGTATCGACTAATATTTGACAGACGTCGCTCTGTCCATGTTACTCTCCTTGCTCCTGCCCTTTTTGATTATCAGGCAAAAAGAAGATATGTTGTAACCAGGGAGGAGGCAACCGAACACGAGAGGAGAGCGGAGGCAGCTCGCCACCATGCCGCAGCTCAGGAGGCAATGGCTGCTGCATCTCAGTATGACCCCAGTTATAACTTCGGATATCAGCCAGGCTATCCTTGGCAATAGACCAACTTAGGCCCAGAGCCTAAGCTTGGAGGAGTACGTATTTCTCACCGACATTACATTCATATTCACACACTCATTCTAGTTGTCGGTGCTCATACTTTTTCACTGTACTATCCATGCTAGTTTAATTTCTTTTTCTAGCTTTCGTCTTGTGTGTTCGATAAACCTTAAGAAAAACCAAAAAATTAGTTAGTTTAATTTCCATGCTTGTAGTAGTAATTAAAAAGAAAACCCAAAAAGATTTATCGTTCTTCTTTTGCTTGTTGGGAGCTTTCCCGTGTAAACAGTTTTATTTTCTTTTCTTTCCTTTGGGGGTCGAGAGGAGAAGACCATAATGAAAATGTTTAGTGGCTCTCATATGCATGATTGTTGATTTAACCAAGAGCCCATATTACCTTGTCTTCTCCCTTGAATTGAATGCTTGCAGATTCCAGCTTAGTCCAATGCACGTGCACTATTATTATTATACACACCGTTCAGTCGTGCAAGTGAAAGGCAATAATGACGATATATGACGGACTAATTGAGATGAGAGA